GCAGAGTGAGAGAGAGAGAGAGGAAGAGAGGGAGGGAGAGAAAGAGGAAGATCGAGAGACCAGAGACATGCAGAGTGAGAGAGAGAGAGAGGAAGAGAGGGAGGGAGAGAAAGAGGAAGATCGAGAGACCAGAGACATGCAGAGTGAGAAAGAGAGAGAAAGAGAGAGAGAGAGGAAGAGAGGGAGGGAGAGGCAGAGGAAGATTGAGAGACCAGAGACATGCAGAGTGAGAAAGAGAGAGAGAGAGAGACAAAGAGAGACCAGAGACATGCAGAGTGAGAAAGAGAGAGGGACAGAGAAAGAGAAAGAAAAGCCAGAAGAGGTCCTAGGTTCGAATCCTGGTCGGAACAGGGCCTTTCTGAGTGGATATTGCATGTTCTCCCCGTGTCTGCATAGGTTTCCTCTGGGTACTCCGGTTTCCCCTACCACTAAAAACATGTGCAATAGTTCAGGGTGAATGAGTCTGTGTTTGTGAATGTGAATGTGGGACAACGGATGGAAATTAGCCCAACGCTTCAATCTGGGGTGATGTGTTCATTAACATGTCCCAACTAAATAAACAATCATTAAATAGTGAAGCCAACTTATGTGAAGGGGTTTGGAGGTGTTTGAAAGCTTCACTGAGGTCATCAGGTGGGCCCCCTCCTTCACCGGTGTTTTGATGATAGGCCCACTACACCTTCAGGGGGCTCATTGGCCCTGCCTGCCGTCCAGGGTGTGCCCCCCTCTGCTTTCAACCCTCCTGAACCACGGTCATTATTTTTGGGCCCCAGGAGTTGTCTCGCCTTTTCATCCATAACCACCGCATTGCCTGCTCAGCTGCTCCTGAGTGGGCCTTGATGGTCTGTCGTTGGGCTTGGCCTCGATTAACAAGATCCTTAAGGAGCTTGATGGTTGACGGCTTGATGGTTGACTTGCCCATGAAGCCTCTGCAGCCGACTTCCACTGGGCAAATCCTGACTTTCCAACCACGCTGCTCAGCATCCGCAGCTAGCTCCGTGTACTTCAGGCTCTTGCGTTGCCTTACGCCAGGATGGTTTACTCTCCCCAAGGCCGAGGCTTCCTCTGCCCTGCTGGACCAGGCCAATGATGTACAGCAGTTGGGGTCCACTTCTGTCCAATCGCCAGGCTAGGTGCTAGCTGCTTGGGCCACAGAGAGGTCTCTGGATACTTTTGAGTCATCTCTGCTCTTACTTTGCAACACTTGAATTCCTCTGTGAGGCTGGACACCGGAAGCTCAAGTACGCCCCTTCCATACAGTTCGATGTTTCTGAAACATCTTGGAAGGCGCAGCCATTTTCTTACAACTGAGCTGACCTCCCTCTCGAGATTCTCAACCTTTGAGATTGGGATCTTATAGACGGTCAGAGGCCACTTGAGGCGGGGTAGTAGCCCGAATTGAAGGCACCAAAGCTTCATCTGTTTTATCTGCATTCGTGCTCACTGGATATTCTCCTGCAGCTTGCTCAGCAGTCGTTTAGCACATGCCTTGGTTGTGGTGAGTATGGCCATGTCTTCCATAAATGCTCTGATGGGAGGGAAGCCAAGGACAGTTTTGAGCTTTGGTCCCCCTACTACCCACTGGGAGGCTCGGATAATGACCTCCATCGCCATTGTGAGACGAGAGGTGAGATTGTGCATCCTGCCATTATCCCTCTCTCCAGCCGTTGCCATGCTGTGGTGTACTCATCTGTTGTCAAGCATACTGTAGCTGCACGTCTCTGAAGTAGGATTTTACGAGGCTTGTGATTCCTTCTGGGATGCTGAAAAATTCAGAAGCCATCCACACGAGACTGTGAGGCACGGATCCAAAGGCATCGGCAAGGTCTAAGAATATGACATGGAGATCTTTACCCCCCTTTTGGGCAAGAGAAAGAGAATGACACAGAGAGAGGGAGGGAGAGAGAGAGCGAGAGGGACCAGAGACAAGCAGAGAACGAAAGCAAGAGAGGGAGAGAAGGAGAAAGAGAAAGAGGGAGAGAAAGACCAGACAGAGAGACAGAGACAGAGAAAGAAAGACAATAGAGAGAGATATAAAGACAAAGAAAGACAGAAGGAGAGAGAACTTATGAGACGGTCAGAGAGAGACAGAGCAAGAGAGACCAGAGCGAGAGAGACCAGAGAGAGGGAAAGGAAAAAGACAGATATGGAGAGAGATAGAGAGAGAGGGAGAACGAGAGCAAGAGAGACAGAGGGAAAGAGTAAGACAGATATGGAGAGAGATAGAGAGAGACGCAGAACGAGAGCAAGAGAGGCAGAGAGACCAGATACAAGCTGTTCCTTCCTATCTAACAATGACCTTCTAAATAGAGTAAATCATTATCATGTGAGGTCAGGAACTAAGGATAAAACAACTTTTGATCGTTAACTCAGACATTTGCACAAAGGCTTTCAGACCTGAGCCTCCTTCATCAATGACTCACAGGTTTCCTCATCCATTCGCAAAGACATTTCGCTCTAAAATCAGTGATTCCCGTTGTCACTGCCAAACCCTGGGCCCTCCGTCACTGCATCTCCCAAGCTGTCAACGCACCTCAGGCCGAGTCCAGTCCTTTGCAATTTTTTCTTTAGTTTGGCGTCTGGAGGATTTGGCGAGATTCGGGGAAGATGACGAGAGACGTTTGAAAGAAGAGAAAGCAGCAGTGATTTTGGAGCCAGTGTCGGACCATGATAGAGAGAAGAGAGGACAGCAGCAAGATGCCTGTGTGTGTGTGTGTGTGTGTGTGTGTGTGTGTGTGTGTGTGTACGTGTGTGTACGTGTGTGTGTGTGTGTGAGACCTTGTGCGATGGTAGAGTTGATGCGTTACCGTGGACAACGCTGTCTTTCACTCTTGGAGATACAGTAACAGTTAATTGAGACATGATCACAAATTGCCTTTAATCATGTCATAATTGTTTACTTACACAATCTATTTATTTTTTATCTTAGTTCTCTTTCTGCTTCAGATGGTGTTAGGGTTTGGGTTAGCCTGGTCTTATCCATCCGTTTCACTGCATGTAACGTCTGGGTCTGGTCCCTGTGTTAGAGACTACAATCGGTCGAAATTCAACCGACCAATCAGCGAGCGCGGGAGGCGGGTGTTGTAGTTAGTTGTGGGTGACGTCAAGAGTTTGCGTCGAAGGGGCAGGTTGTAGTTTGGCAATGACGAAAGATGTGATAGTAAAGTATTCTGGTCTGGTTCTATCAAGAAATTGAACCCGGAGCAAGAGGAATGTTTAGCAAATGTGATTGCTGGAAAAAAATATGGCGCTACTCCCCACGGGCTCCGTTAGCGCCAAAGGATATGGCTGAAGCTAGGCTAACTGCTAAATGCTAACGACAGACTCGGGCGCACTATATACGTCACGGTAAACTCAGATCCAATCGTTTCAATCTGCATCAGGAGTTAGCCCCTCCCACCTGTTCACGGAGTCAATGGAGCAAATCCAGACCTTAGTACATGATGTAATTTGTACTATGGTGTGGTACGGCCAGGCTAGGTTTGGGTTAGAAAAGCGTGGTCAACTTGAATATATCTGCGGTATAGCCTTGTTTGGTTTAATTTAGGGTATTTTGGGATAACTCTGGCAGTTTCGTTTGACCCGAGGGCAGCACAAGGGTTGAATTTGATAGAATAGCATCACTTTGGTCAGACATACAAATGGGTAAAACAGCGGATGTAGCTGAGAGACCTTCAAAGACCACCGTTTCAAGGGCCAATGCTATATTTAGGTGTTAGAACATTGCTTAGATCATTCCCACACACAAATCCATCAATAGACAAGCAAGAGAGATCTAATTAATGTATCTATTGTCGTGCAGTTTGTCCTTGTTTGATCACACTTGTCCTTTTATCTAATCATATCTCTCTCTTGCGTAAACGCCACACACTTTAATAGGTCCACACAAAGACGGCAGCGGCAGGTGAAAGGCGTTTTTTGCGAGAACAAACACGGCATTGATTTGCAGTCTTGGTGAGCACATATGCCGTGTTTGCTGTCTGCTGTGTGGGCGGACCGGGCCCCGCGGGGATTACAGTATTGAAAATAAGTAATTGGTTCAGGTTCATAGAATTTGCCTTATTCACTGGTAACGGCACGGTGCAGGCAGAAGTCTCATTTAAACAAGATACAAATTAATTCCCAAGGTGCAGAAGCGATTGTGTCCAATTTTGACATTGTGTGACTTTGTCGTTAATGGATGATACCAAAGACAGCAGAAGTCAATAAATGAATACAATAGTTTAAGTACTGTCAGTTTGAGTGGGCGTTTAAAAGAGGCTGTGGGAAATGTTTGCTTACTGATTGGACGGACAGAAACCTGACAGATGTACACTGCAAAAAAGTCATGAAAAATAGTCAAAAATGACTGAAAATTGGCAAAATATATCTTATTTTGAGCACATTTGAAAGTGCCTTAGAGCAAGATTTGCCATTGGGACAAAGCAAAATGGTCTTGTTTAAAAATGAGAGAGAGAGAGAGGGAGAGAGACAGATAGAAAAACAAAGAGATGCAGAAAGAGGGAGAGAGATTTGCCAATGGGACTAAGTAAAAAAGCTAATAAGAACATAAATGTCTCCCTTGGAATCAGAAAGTAAAGCAACAGTTCATGAATTAAGACTAAATGGCCCAAACGAGACGCCAACCGGTCCCAATGTTGTCTCCATCTCAACACAAGTTTGCGGCATCACAACACCCAATATTTCATTTCAATTCAATTTCATTTTTATAGGCCTTTAACTAAAAAGCACATATCTTGGATTTATGGTAGATGAACATCTCACATTTGATGAAGTGAAGGCGTGTCGTGATCTTGGTAATAAGACCTACACTGAGCTTTACAGAGCTTGTGTCTGTCCGGTGTTGGACTATGGGGCTGGGGTCTCTCTGGTGTTGGACTATGGGGCTGGGGTCTCTCTGGTGTTGGACTATGGGGCTGGGGTCTGTCTGGTGTTGGACTATGGGGCTGGGGTCTGTCTGGTGTTGGACTATGGGGCTGGGGTCTGTCCGGTGTTGGACTATGGGGCTGGGGTCTCTCTGGTGTTGGACTATGGGGCTGGGGTCTGTCCGGTGTTGGACTATGGGGCTGGGGTCTGTCCGGTGTTGGACTATGGGGCTGGGGTCTCTCTGGTGTTGGACTATGGGGCTGGGGTCTGTCCGGTGTTGGACTATGGTGCTTGGGGTCTCTCTGGTGTTGGACTATGGGGCTGGGGTCTCTCTGGTGTTGGACTATGGGGCTGGGGTCTGTCCGGTGTTGGACTATGGGGCTGGGGTCTCTCTGGTGTTGGACTATGGGGCTGGGGTCTGTCCGGTGTTGGACTTTGGGGCTGGGGTCTCCCTGGTGTTGGACTATGGGGCTGGGGTCTGTCCGGTGTTGGACTATGGGGCTGGGGTCTCTCTGGTGTTGGACTATGGGGCTGGGGTCTCTCCGGTGTTGGACTATGGTGCTGGGGTCTCTCTGGTGTTGGACTATGGGGCTGGGGTCTGTCAGGTGTTGGACTATGGGGCTGGGGTCTCTCCGGTGTTGGACTATGGGGCTGGGGTCTCTCTGGTGTTGGACTATGGGGCTGGGGTCTGTCTGGTGTTGGACTATGGGGCTGGGGTCTCTCTGGTGTTGGACTATGGGGCTGGGGTCTCTCTGGTGTTGGACTATGGGGCTGGGGTCTCCCTGGTGTTGGACTATGGGGCTGGGGTCTCTCTGGTGTTGGACTATGGGGCTGGGGTCTCCCTGGTGTTGGACTATGGGGCTGGGGTCTGTCTGGTGTTGGACTATGGGGCTGGGGTCTCCCTGGTGTTGGACTATGGGGCTGGGGTCTCCCTGGTGTTGGACTATGGGGCTGGGGTCTCTCTGGTGTTGGACTATGGGGCTGGGGTCTCCCTGGTGTTGGACTATGGGGCTGGGGTCTCCCTGGTGTTGGACTATGGGGCTGGGGTCTGTCCGGTGTTGGACTATGGGGCTGGGGTCTCCCTGGTGTTGGACTATGGGGCTGGGGTCTCTCTGGTGTTGGACTATGGGGCTGGGGTCTGTCCGGTGTTGGACTATGGGGCTGGGGTCTCTCTGGTGTTGGACTATGGTGCTGGGGTCTCTCTGGTGTTGGACTATGGGGCTGGGGTCTGTCCGGTGTTGGACTATGGGGCTGGGGTCTCTCTGGTGTTGGACTATGGGGCTGGGGTCTCTCTGGTGTTGGACTATGGGGCTGGGGTCTGTCTGGTGTTGGACTATGGGGCTGGGGTCTCTCTGGTGTTGGACTATGGGGCTGGGGTCTCTCTGGTGTTGGACTATGGGGCTGGGGTCTCTCTGGTGTTGGACTATGGGGCTGGGGTCTCTCTGGTGTTGGACTATGGGGCTGGGGTCTCTCTGGTGTTGGACTATGGGGCTGGGGTCTCTCTGGTGTTGGACTATGGGGCTGGGGTCTCTCTGGTGTTGGACTATGGGGCTGGGGTCTCTCTGGTGTTGGACTATGGGGCTGGGGTCTCTCTGGTGTTGGACTATGGTTCTGGGGTTACTGTAAACAAACGCACAGTGAAAAAGTTCAATGCAGAGCTCTGAGGTACTTTCTAGGTGTTCATAAAAAACACCCTAAACTTGCTCTGTACGGGGACCTGGGTTGGGAACCATGTGAAGCATGTTTGTCACATGGTGCTCTGTACGGGGACCTGGGTTGGGAACCATGTGAAGCATGTTTGTCACATGGTACGGTTATGGAACAGGTTTATCAATATGTCTGACTCAAGACTGTCCAAACACATCTTTAAATGGGACCTGTCTCATGGACCTGTGTGGAGTGTGAAGATGGAGAACAGTTTTGTTGATGCTGATCTCCAGTTTATTTTCAGAAAAAAGTTGAGATGTTGTGTTGGAGAAATTAAAAAAGTTTATTTTGAAAAGTATAAACATAAATGATTAAACAATGTCTTGTGTAAGCCAAAGCTGAGAATGTGTGTTTTGATAAAAGATAATTTTGGTCCTGAGCCCTATGTTACCCTGAACCAGAGGTCAGAGGTCAATCTGTGAGGTCTGGGACCCAGGTCTGGGACCCTGGTCTGGGACCCAGGTCTGGGACCCTGCCCCTGGCTCTGGAGACAGGTCCATTCCACTCGGTCCCAGAGGAGGACATGTTGTTTGTCTCTTAAACAACATTAGAAATGAATTGCATGTTGTGTTTTATTGTCCTTTGTATCATGATCTGAGAAGACGATTATTCTGTAAACTGTCTGATGTCACTGAACTTCAGTTGGAACTTTCTGATGAGGAAAGGCTTAAGTTTCTGTTCAAGTACAAACCATTTCATTTGTCTAAGGCCCTGTCCACACGAAGTCAAGCTCAGGCCTAAACGCAAAAATACTTTATCAATCCAGTGTATCGTCCATACGAGGCCGGCGTTTTGGGGGGGTGTAAACGAACATTTTTGAAACTAGGTCCCAGAGTGGAAAGATTTCAAAACTCCGTATATGCCGCTCCGTGGTTACTGCCTCTCCGCAATGTATCTGAGACGCTTGCGTCATCGCCCCGCCTGTTGTTAAAGCATGCATGCGCCGCACTCAGAAAATAATGACAACAACAATGTAGCTTGTTGGTTTTGTAATCCAGTGCGACCCGAAGCAACAGTTCAACCTCATCGTCCGTCCATACTAATGTAGTACCAGCTCGCCCACTCGCCATGTTGTCTGTTTACAAAATTCCGCGCATGCCCAGTTCCCGTCACGGAAGTTTGGGCTTGATCCCGTCATTGCGTCACAGCGCCACCAACAGGTCTGGCATAGTTTATTTATTTATTTATTTATTTATTTATTTATTTATTTATTTATTTAGAGGATAAGCCCCTTGAGATGAATCATCTCGTTTTCGAGGGGGTCCTCAAGATTTCACAGCGTTTTCAGGCGTATTGACTACATCCATATGGACGCACACATTTACTGAGCTAACTCCGTGTTTACAGAAAAAGTTTCTGAAATTATAAGCGTTTTGTCTTCGTGTGGATATAGCCTAAGTTTTTGTTAAGTGCACGGCTCCAACGGAAGAGGACACTCACATGTTTTTGTTATGTCTGCTTCATCTTTGTGTCGTATAAGCCCATACGGGCGGGGCACCAAATAAGAAACAAACTAAACTACCACTAAACCAAACCTAAAATCAAAACAACAGTCATCTTGGAGAATTCAAGATGTATAATTGTTATGTAACATTGTCCTTTGAATTATGATGTTGTCTTGTCTTACTTCCGCCTCCGTCGAGCAAAGTCGTGTCTCAGACGTTCCTGCTTCTGACTGCCTGCTATCTCCTGTTTTTGTCTTTTTCCTGGAGTTTTGCCACAGACAACTTTAACAAGAATGGAAATGATTAACTGACAGTAGCTCAGTTGGTAGAGCATTGGCCTTATGGCCAGAAGGTCGTGGGTTCAATTCCCACCTCTGCACCTTCTCCACCGACTCCCACTGATGACTGCTGTCGTTGTGTCCTTGGGCAAGACACTTAACCCCACTTTGCCCAAAGCCCCCACTGAAAGATCAAGGCTATGCTCACACTCAGAGCAGCCGTCCTCCTGTGGACTCACCACCTGCAGAGGGTCAGTGAGGGGCTGGTGCTATGAGACTTGGGTGACATCTCTGACTGCCACCCCCCTGACCCAGAAATGGATTAAAGGGTAGAAAATGGATGGATGGATGGATGGAAATGATTAACTGGTCCCTCAAGGCAATTGATTCTATCTTTTCAACACGTAAGCGTGGGTCTGGAGAGCCCGTGTGTCCGGACGGGACCTCACCAGCGGGGTATACTCTTGACAGCTGGAACAAGTTTCAGCCCCTCTGTCTGTCGACCCTGTCCATTGAAGATTCGGAAGACGTATATATCTTTGGCATTTTGGTGGTGGGGATCCTCCTGTTTGGGTTTGGAGCGGTCCTCTTCTACCGCAAATTCGGAGGCATGGCAGTTCGCAAGATTCACGAGCTGCTGGCCGACAAAATTGATGGGATGTACAAGGAGCTTAGCCGAGTCGTGGTTGAGAGCGCTGTGGCTGGACAAAGAAGAGTGGTGTTGGTGGAACAGTTGATAAAAGACCTCGCAGCTCGTTCACTCGAAGGGAATAAAACATTAAAACATTGGAGATGAGATTGAATGACATCGTGTGTCAGGCTTGAACTCTCTGACCCAGCTTGGATTTGCCCCTGTGTACGGAGGTCTGAGGGCGCCGCAATTCGGTTTAATTGGATTTAATAGAATATCTGCCTGTTTTTGACTGCTACAGTGCATATAATATTGTCCCTCTCAGGCGATGTGTTTTTCTCCTGCTGTGTCTTCTCTCCACTCTTATCTCACATTCCTCGGCCAAGGCCATAATATCTCAAGGCCCAATCTACAACAACTCACACTATTGCAGTCTCCAGCACGGATCCCTCACCCCACCCAGCCTCCCTCTACCCATCTTACTCCCTCCCTCCCCCTCCACTCCTTATTGTGTTTCCGACTCACCCCCTCCCTGGCCCCGCCCCCCTCCCTGGCCCCGCCCCCCTCTGACAGCCACATTGGGCCGGCAGTCGGAGGTGCTTCATCCCGAGAAAAAATCCGTGGTTTATACAAAGCACAATGTGTCTATCCAACTGTCTGTGAAACTGTATGTTATTGCTCTCTGCTGTTTATTCTACCGTTTGTCGCATGGCGCCGGAAAGATGGCGCCGTGGCAAGAGCTCTGGTGTGTGTCGTCTGGTGCACACTGGGGTAGCCTTGCACAGTTTTTCCTATGTGGTTTTACTGCAAATGGCAAATAAATGAATCTGAATCTGAATGTATATAAATAAAACAGTAAACAAAGTAAATCTGAATTACATTTAAATGTCCTGGATCACCGCTTTTCTTAGAACCTTCTGCATTGGCAAAAAACCTCAAAAACCCAGTGGGAAAAGTGAGAAACCTCAAGGAGACCGGCGTTGAGAGAGGGATCCGCCAAAACAACATGTCTTTATATATATTTACAACTAGAGTTATAATTAAACCACACGTGATAATAAAAACACGTGACTGCGGCTGGATCGTGCTGTTGGCAGAAAGTGTGCGTCACTCGTTCCTTATGCATTCAGACCAGAAGCTACTCAGCCCCGGCTTTCTTCTTCTTATCTTTTATTTTATGACAATGAATCATTCCCTTATCAGACATGTCACTCACTCAAGAACTTGGGGAAGTGGAATTGAAAAACCTAAAAGTAAAGAGCATTGGTGAGAGACAAGGGCCGGAGACGGAGATGGGTTTGAAGAACCAGTTTTTTTATTCTTGTTTGTGGTTTACTACAGAACGTGATGAAAAAAAGACTGTCTGAGAGCACCTCGCACAGTACTCTCTCTCTGGTCTCTCTCTCTGGTGTCTCTCTCTCTGGTCTCTCTCTGCTCTCTATCCCTGGCCTCTATCTCTCTGGTCTCTGTCTCTTTCTGGTCTCTCTCTTTTTGGTCTCTCTCTCTCTGGTGTCTCTCTCTCTGGTCTCTCTCTGGTGTCTCTCTCGCTGGTCTCTCTCTAGTCTATCTCTGGTCTCTCTCTGCTCTCTATCCCTGGCCTCTCTCTCTCTGGTCTCTGTCTCTTTCTGGTCTCTCTCTGGTCTCTCTCTGGTGTCTCTCTGGTGTCTCTCTCTCTGGTCTCTCTCTGGTCTCTCTCTAGTCTCTCTCTAGTCTCTCTCTAGTCTCTCTCTAGTCTCTCTCTAGTCTCTCTCTAGTCTCTCTCTGGTCTCTATCCCTGGTCTCTGTCTCTCTCTGGTCTCTGTCTCTCTCTGGTCTCTCTCTCTGGTCTCTCTCTCTGGTCTCTCTCTCTGGTCTCTCTCTCTGGTCTCTCTCTCTGGTCTCTCTCTGGTCTCTCTCTGGTCTCTCTCTGGTCTCTCTCTGGTCTCTCTCTAGTCTCTCTCTAGTCTCTCTCTAGTCTCTCTCTAGTCTCTCTCTAGTCTCTCTCTAGTCTCTCTCTGGTCTCTCTCTGGTCTCTCTCTGGCCTCTCTCTCTCTGGTCTCTGTCTCTCTCTGGTCTCTCTCTCTCTGGTCTCTCTCTCTGGTCTCTCTCTCTGGTCTCTCTCTCTGGTCTCTCTCTCTGGTCTCTCTCTCTGGTCTCTCTCTGGTCTCTCTCTAGTCTCTCTCTGGTCTCTATCCCTGGCCTCTCTCTCTCTGGTCTCTCTCTCTGGTCTCTCTCTCTGGTCTCTCTCTCTGGTCTCTCTCTCTGGTCTCTCTCTGGTCTCTCTCTGGTCTCTCTCTGGTCTCTCTCTAGTCTCTCTCTGGTCTCTATCCCTGGCCTCTCTCTCTCTGGTCTCTGTCTCTCTCTGGTCTCTCTCTCTGGTCTCTCTCTCTCTGGTCTCTCTCTCTGGTCTCTCTCTCTCTGGTCTCTCTCTCTGGTCTCTCTCTGGTCTCTCTCTGGTCTCTCTCTGGTCTCTCTCTGGTCTCTCTCTAGTCTCTCTCTGGTCTCTGTCTCTCTCTGGTCTCTCTCTGGTCTCTCTCTGGTCTCTCTCTGGTCTCTCTCTCTCTGGTCTCTGTCTCTCTCTGGTCTCTGTCTCTCTCTGGTCTCTCTCTCTCTGGTCTCTCTCT